CCCTGTTTTCATTAGACTTAAAAGGGACAGTTCAGAATTTTGGACATAGGACCTCATTTTGTTGGAGACGTGTGGAGACACTTTTTGAAATATTCAATCCAGTCCTTGTATTTGCAGAGGTCGCCCGTGCTAGACTAGTGCATGTCAATGGCCATAGTTCTCCTGCCACTAATACAGTCTTACCCACTCCACAAAACACCCGAAACAAATCTATTATTACACCATGTGTCCTGTCCATGTGAATGTCTGTGTTGATAGAATAATATTTGAAATAAAATTAACCTTGCATCACATGAATCATCACATGTTGAGGGACTATTTTCTATTATCAATCCGCCGCTGCCAAACTTTCTATCAGGAAGTACAACTCGCTGCTGCTGCTCAGACATAAATCCTTCAAATGCAAGGTTGGTTTTACTAAAATTATTCTGTTGACACATGGACAGTCTGGTGTAATAATAGATTTGCGTCAGGTGTTTTGTGGAGTGGGTAAGACTGTTTTTAGTGGCTGGACTGAATTGGACTGGATTGAATATTTCAAAAAGTGTCTCCACATGTCTCCAACAAAATGAGGTCCTATGTCCAAAATTCCGAGCTGTCCCTTTAATCTGTGCTTTATTTTTTCACAATCTGACCAGAAAGAGCTAATTTAGTTGGAAATACGACAGTTGAGATCTTTTTTTTTTTCTTCAGTTAGTTACTTTCACCTTTTTGTTGAAAATCGAACTCCTGAGCAGGACCATGAAAACTCAGACTTATCACGGACTCCTGAAAATGTGCTGCTTAAATCATTTTTTTTCCTCTCTCATACAATCTTAAAACTTCTCTGACACTATTTGCTAATGTGTGTATTGTGTCACCATGGTAACTCCTGAACATCTCACCATTAGAGATACATGTAGAACACTCCCAGTAGTGTGAAGTATGAATTCTTTAATATAGAAATGTATTTTTATTTAATTCTATGTTAGTATCATGCCAACACTAGACCCCACACTAAACCTGTCTCTTGTGTTGTGTGGGTAGTTAAATCTCTTTCACTCCTCTTTGTGTTACTGGTGACTCTTCTCTCAGATGACTACACACACACACACACACACACACGGAGAGAGAGACACAGGAGCTGCTTCTCAAAGGCATTCATCACGTTTTACCTCCTCCTCTCATCCATCTCCCCTCTGTCTCTCCTTCGGCGGCCCCACTCTCGTTTACTCAGTGTCAAACTCCGCTGTTTTCACACTGGGAATCTCATCCTTCCTTCTCTCCTCTTTATTTTCCTCCATTCATCACTCCGTTCTCAGCTTTTGTTTACTACGGGAAATTCCAGGAGTGATATTAAATTGTTATTGCACAGGCGCGAGATGCTACGTCAGCTTTTCGTGTAGCGATCCGAGGCTTAATCACACAGTATTTATTAAGCTCTCAGAACACAATGCAGTTAATCTCAGGTGTAACTGTAAATGAAGGCACACAACACTAGAGGAAATGTAATTAATTAAATGTAATTACCTTTTCTATTCTGATTTGAATGTTTGTTTTTATAGAGTCTGGAAAATACAAGACCTTTTAACGTAATGTTGAAAAATGACCTGACAGAAAGGTGCACAGTGTAACTTTTAGGCCCTAAACTATATATAAACTATACTCTTCAGTGTGTACGTGTGTGAGATCCACAGCTGTATGTCAGTGTGAGGATGACCACACTGACAGCTCCAGCAGGACGTACGAGCGCAGCACTCCCTCTGTGTTTGTCAATGTGGAAGACGATCAGACTTGACTGGCACAATTTAGACACTTGTAACTAGGGCTGTTATCAAGTGTCTGATACGATACATACCTCGATACATAGGCTACGATATGATACATATCTCGATACAGTGCTTTTTCGATTCAGTACGATATATTTCAAATCAATTCGGATACAGTTCAATAAAAAATAAAGGCTAAATTATGGCTGTGATACTGAAAGTCTTTGTTAAACCACTTCTTTTGTAAAGTGAGAATGAAACACAATGTTAAGCCCTATGTTCCCTTCTTTCTAAGATTTTTCTTATTTCTAAGATTTTTCTCAAAATTAAACTCTTAAGTCAAGCATTTAAAAAGATTATTCAGAGTCATTTCAATCTAGGAGCTTTTGTACCATGACCTCTGCATTACATCTGTAGTCAACTGCTGCTGGAGAATGGGGTTACAATCTGATGCAAATTGATGATAAAGGAAATGTGGGAACATAGAGCCTAATTTTGGAAACAAAAAACAAAAAACAAAAAACTTAGACCTTCGTGCCACAACAACATAATTTAGTAAAATACATCAAAAAATACTCTTGGTGACATATCGATACAGCAGCCCATGGTATCGATACTGTATCATCACATTAAACAATACGATTTATCGATATTTTTATATTTTTACACACCTCTACTTGTAACACCTCTACAGTGAAACTTACTAGTTGACTAGGCTTGTATTTATTGTCTGTACAGTTTGAACACGGCAAACTCAAGGATTTTAAATTTGAAAGCACAAATTAAAAGCACAATAACTCCCCCAGGAACACGTGCTGATGGTAAATGCACAAAAACAACAACAAATGTGTGCTGTCTATGTATTTTGAAGGGGATACACGCCCTATACTTTTGCAGAGCATCTGTGCGTAGCACCAACTGCTCCATATGTGTGCCAGTGATGGCTCTGTGACCACCTCATTCACTTTTAATTCAATCTAAAAATATGCATCCAAAACATGCCGTTTTTACACTGACATTGAGTGAAGTCGGTGTGCAGTGTGTTCTAGGGCGTAGTGTGGGGGTCGCCCTATGGACACGGCTCTTCCCCAATTATCAGGTGCTAGAACAGTGAACTGAAAACCATTCATTATTTTGTCTGCTTCACACAGTAGCATGTCATTTATTGCAAAAAGCGATAATGACACCTCTGTTTTTTTACCAATACACATTTATAATGACATGTTTTGTTTTCTCCTCTTTTTGTCTTGCAGGACAAGGACATGAAAAAATTAGCACTGTTGTCAGAGAAATGAATAATAATTCAAAACAAAAGAATAACAACAATCTTCAATGGTCCAAAGTCCTCAAAATGACACTTTTTAAACAGGAAGCTGAAACCAGTGAACTCTTTTTTATTATTTTGAATTGACAGGCTCAGAAACATGGAATTAATTACACAAATAAATTCTGAAGCCTCTAATGTTTTCCCGATAAATTTGTATAAACAGGGGAGTAGTACAAAATTCTGGGCCCTGACTACAAATCGTCTTGGTAGGCCCACATTACATGTTCTCTATATGACAGTTTCTTATTACAGATGTTGTGAAGGGCCCCTCCTTGTTCTGAGCCCTGGGTAAACGGTACATTTAACCCCCCCAGCCCGACGCCCCTGTATATAACTTGGCATGACTGAATTAGCCATGAACAGGGCAGCTGCAGGGTCTTAAAAGTCTTAAAAAGGTCTTAAATTTCATGTTCCTAAATTAAGCCCTTAAAAAGTTTTAAATTATGTTGTCCAGGTCTTATTTTTTTCATAAAGGCCTTAAATTTTATTAGTTTTATTTTTTTGTTTACTCACCCGGGCTGCAGCACAATGTTAAATGGAGGGAGGAAAAAAAAGAAAAACATGAAATCACGTAATGTAAACGAACATCTAATTTGGAGTATGCGTTAACAATACTTAGTTTATCTTGTTAGAATGTTATAAATTATTTTTTGGCCATTTTACAAGCAATGCATACTACTATAAATGAGTTCTGAATGAGATTTTGTAATAAAAGTATTTTTTTGTTATTTAAAGCAGTGAGTAATGGCTATTATTAGAATTGGATTTGGGGTTTTTTGTCCGCATAATAGGTGCGATGTTGGTCTTAATTTTCATTTAAGTGTCTTAAAAAGGTCTTAAAAAAGTCTTAAATTTGGAGTAGTCAAACCTGGGTATACACTGATGAAAGTATAGATAATGGCCAGTGTTGGGAAGGTGACTTTTAAAATGTATTCCCCTACAAATTACAGATTACATACCCCAAAATGTAGTTTGTAACGTAATCCATTAAATTACTTAAAGTGAGCAATGTAATCTGAATACTTTTGATTACTTGATTTGCCGTAGAGAAGCAAAGACTAGGAAATCGTAACATAAGAAGTTTTGTCGGCTAAAAGAAAATAAAAAGCCCAGACTTTACTTAACTGTATTAAAAATATTATTGATAGAAGAGGAGGAGCCATGGTCCGTGCAGCATGATTTAGTCCTGTTAAATCCTGTTTGAGACATGGTTTAGTCCTGGTTTAGTCTTTGCTTAGTCCTGGTTTAGATCTGGTTTAGACCTGGTTTTAGACCTGGTTTAGTCCTGGTTTAGACCTGGTTTGGACCTGGTTTAGACCTGGTTTTAGTCCTGTTTTAGTCCTTTTAGTCCTGTTTTAGTCCTGGTAGTCCTGGTTTAGTCCTGGTTTGGACCTGGGTTTAGTCCTGGTTTAGACCTAGTTTAGACCTGGGTTTAGACCTGGGTTTAGACCTGGTTTTAGTCCTGTTTTAGTCCTGGTTTAGTCCTGGTTTAGACCTGGGTTTAGACCTGGGTTTAGACCTGGTTTAGACCTGGTTTAGACCTGGTTTAGACCTGGTTTAGACCTAGTTTAGACCTAGTTAAGACCTGGAGAAAAAAGAAAAAAAAAAAGGATATAGCCCAAAATATGAAAACAGGAAAATACCTCTGTGTAATCCATTTATTTCAACAAAGTAACTGTAACCCAATTACCACTCACTGAAACAGTAACTGTAACTGAATACAGTTACTCATAATTTGTACTCTAGTCTTCAAAATGGTGCCTTTAACAGTCGAACAGCTGAAAATCATGAATTATTTGATCTGTTTGTAATTGTTAAACACGGTAACATTTAATTTATTTCAAAATGTGATGATGAAACCTCTGCTCTCTACTCTACCCGTAAATATTTCTAATGTTTTGTTTTCCCATCTCTTTGTCTTGCAGGACATGGAATCCCGAATCCAGCATTTTGATACATTCCTGTGACAGATTCCAGAGTTTGGATCAGGGGAAGCTCGGGACCACGCCTCATCCTCCCAAACCCGTCAGCCTGCCTGCCTCCTCCTGCGGTTTCCATGACAACAAGGCTCAAATCTCAACGACAAGAGACATTTTAACGGTGCTAGCTATCGTCTCAGGAACTTAGCCAGACCACACTCTACGTTACCGTACACGACAACGAAAAAAACCAAACTACAACTGGTTCCTCGGATGGTTCCTTGCAATGCTCCACCCCCTGGTGCTTTAACGGGTGCTAACTTTCTTACTCCATGCTGCTCTTGGGACTACTATCAAAACAAAACACTGATTTAAAGGTGCGCTGTGTAACTTTTCTGGTGGTCGGTCTGTCACTCGCTCGGAGATGTCACTGCTTTGTCTGGAATGTTCCAAAGTGTGGCAAATGACTCTGATTTTTTTTTAATGTTGTTTCGTCATCACAAACAGACCCGGAGTTGTTTTTTTGTTTCATTCAACACGCAAACTCTGCCTGTTGATGCGTCTCTCAAACAGACAACACCCTGTTCCACCCTGTGATGTCATGTGGAAATACAGGAGGTGCTAGAGAAATAGACAGACTAATAACAAAGAGTTACTCAAACGTGTGTGAATGAAACGAAACACAACTCCAGGTCTGTTTTTGAGGAGGAAACAAGCTCAGAAGCGTCAAATTTAGAGCTTTAACTTATCTCTCTTTTATATTTTCAATTACAGATTTATTTAACTGCGCAAAAAAAACTTGAAAAAACATGCGTTCTTACCTTGAGCTGGATCGCCTCTCTGCAGATCTGACCTGTAACTTGGCCTTTTTCTGTTTCCTCCTCATTTCCATTGACAGAAGTTTTACTGCTGTTACAACTGAAAAAATACAAGTCAAAAAAACAATCTCTACGACTCAAATAAAGTCTTAAAAGCCATACTATGAAACATTCCCCGCAAAGCAATTCTATCTCCTCATAGAAAAGTTCCACAGCGCGCTTTTAAACTTGCGAAAACCAACAGAGCGAGTGAAGATGTCATATCAGCTGCTCATAACATCTTTTTACGTGATCCATGTATTGTAACATTGACAGACGGTGCATCTAAAACCACACAGATCCTCACCAGCAGAACTTATGGGCACAGATCATGATGGGAATGACACTAGACATGCGGAAAATCTCACTTAGGCCAGTTTCGGTGGGTTTTAAATAGTAGTAGTTGGAAATTCTTCTCACCCAGGGCTAGAGTTGATGAGGTTTTAGACTAAAGGGTGTGGCATAGAAGATTGAAGGAGGTGGTGGTTTCTTAAAGGTGCGGACCAGTGTTTTGTGAAGTACTTTGATTGTTGTAGGAAATGTAGAAAATGCGGTTAAGTAGACCGGAGCGATCCAACAAAATACTTTTTCGTGATAAGAACAAGCTCACCTTCACATCTATAAAATTATTACTGTTTTCTGATCTGTTCTAATGTTGTTTCCTCATCACAAACAGACCTGGAGTTGTGTTTTGTTTCATTCACATGTTTAACTCACAAACCTGCAGATTTATTTTGAGTTCCTCTCTCGAACAGAAAACACTGTGATGTCATGTTGTAATCCAGGAAGTGCTCCACTGTGTTTTTAAACTCCTTACACCTTCACTAGAATCATTTTTTTTTTATCATTTCAGACCTGGAATTGTCGATCTCTACCGAACTAAAAGTACAAGTTGGAACAGATCGTTTTGAGGTTTCGAGATGTAAACAGACTAATAATAAACTGGGATGTAACAATAACCGAAATATCGTGATAATGCCTCGTCAAAAGTCTCACAATAATATCGTGGACCATCACAATATATCAAATTACAAGTTTCTTTGCTTAAATAAAAAAAAAAACGAGGGAACTGCATAGACCATGATCCTTTGGTCCGTTTCAGGGCAGACTACATGAAGAAATAAATGTTATAAGGGCTGTGAAATCTTAGTTCTGTTGTATCAATGCATTTTAAGAGGAAAATTGCATATTCACAAATTATCACAATAAATATCGTACCTTGAGATGTACCGTATTTTCTGTACTATAGGATGCTCTCCTAAGCCTCCAACCCCATCAAGAAACAACTGTGCACCCCACAATCCAGAGCGCCCTATACACGAATCCACTCGGGTGTCCCAGCACGACTTCAGTAAACTACAAAGCTGCACCTCCCGCAGAACACACAAACACACTCCATGTGTCGCAGACAGCGACCGCACAACGAAAAACACCCACAGACACACTCATCACTCCACGCCGACGAGGAACAGAACGGAGGAACAAACCGAAAAAGCGAGTGCAATGTGAGAGTCACCGTGAATGCGCCAAACAAACTGACCCATCCAACTGTTGTGTTTCGTTTATAGTTCGGTGCGGTTTATTTGTGAAAACAGTTCGAAAATAGACCATTCAATGACAGTGCGCCTTATAATCCAGAGCGCCTTATAGTGTGGAAAATACGGTATACGGTGAAAATATCGTACTGAAAGATTTGGGTATTGTTATATCCCTAAGAATAAAGTGATACTCAAACATGTGTGAATGAAACAAAATACAACTCCAGGCCTGTTTTTGAGGAGGGAACAACATTCTAACATTAATCTAGAGTTGAGATATAAAGTGCAGGTTCTAGGTTTTTAGCACTTCATACTTTGTGACGCATTTTACAAATATTTCCTGTAACTCCTATTGTTAGATTATGTCCAAGAAATATAGGACATGTATTTTGCAGTATTCACCAGCTGAACTAAAACTGAAATAGCATCTTTACACAATTTGAATTAGTTCAAAGTTTTCAGATTTTGAAATCTTCTCGGGCTGTGTAGTTAAATATTATTCATTGCTCCTGTCTTTAACCCCAAATTTCTTCAGCTTCCTACTGTGCGCTGTGTAACTTTTTGGTTGAGGGGTCCGTCACCTGCTTGTTTCTATGGAGATGTCATTGCACTGCCTGGAATGTTCCACAGTATGACTTTAAACAGATCTACTCTACATTTATTCAATTACATGTGAATTTACAGCTAAAAAATACAGAGAAAAACAGGTATCGTTACTGTGAGCGGAGTCGCCTCTCCACAGATCTAACCTGTAACTCGCTCTGGTTGAAGATAGAAAGGTTTAATGCCATACTGCGGAACATTCCAGGCAAAGCAACATCATCGAACCCTACATTAGAAATGTTGTACAATGAAGTTCGAACAAAATCCCGGACTGCGCCTTTAAATTTAGCAGTAACCTGTTGTACAAAGGATTCTGGGAGCTCGCGTAGATATAGAAGGGGCTATAGTGAATTAGCCTAGCAGATGGTGCGCCCTGGACAGCTAGTGTAGCGCTCTCCACTCACAGTATGAATGTTGTCCCTTCACTCAAGCTGAGATTCTCATCCACACCCCACAGAGGAGCTGGAAGCAGTACAGATTGGAACGAAGTAGTTTGCACTGCCTAGAGTGTGCCTTATTTTTACCAAAACCTCAAAAGAAATGACTCAAATATTAGACGTTTTATTTAGAAGTTCGTTAAGTTAGCCTCGTACGGCACTGGACAGGCTCTACGATGGGTTAATTACTACTACTATTTCTACTACTACAAGTACTGCTACAGTCATGAAGCAAAAAGTATATAAAAAAAACTAGGTGTACATAATTATTTGGGTCCCCTTTTGTCATTTTAGGAGTACAAAGGTTCACTATGTAGCTTTTCTGTTTCGAGGTCTGCAATCTGCTTGTCTCCATGGAGATTTCGTTGCTTGCTTTGCCTGGAATGTTCCGCAGTGTGACATTAAAGCAGCTCTACTTTACATATATCCAATTACAAGTGGTTTTAGAACTCAAAAAACCCAATTTATGTTACATTTATTGGTCAGAAATGCCTTTAAAATCATGCGTTTTTACTGCGATCGGACTTGCCACTCCGCAGATTTAACCCGTAATTTGGCTTAATGGTTCCAACCCCTTTATTTTTATAGCACGTTTAATAAAAGAGAGAACAAATCTACACTTTAATACAATAAAAAACATAATAAAAAACAAATAAAACATTCAAACAGAGCCATATGAACAAATAATAAACAAAAAATAAAATCGATCTTCATTGATGTACACACATTGACGTTTAATGCCATACTGTGGAAAATTCCAAGCAAACCCAACGACGTCCAACCATAGAGACCAACAGGTGGCGTACCCTGCCCGTACCCTCGCCTTTCTACCAGAAAAGCGACGTAGTGAAGCTTTAAATTCACAAAAATCGTCTCACACTTCGTCAAACGCCACTCCGAACTCCACCAGCGTTTCTGTTGAGTTTTCATATGCAAAAGTAAGTTCTCATGCCAAGTATTTTTTTTTGACAACTACTGTTTTCAAGGTGTTCTCAGCAATTTTGTATTATGTTGGAAGTCAGTTTGTACTTTTTATAGTCTCATTTAACTTTTTTTTGGTTTGTTTTTTGCGTTCGATCAAGGCCATCCTAGGCAGTGCCCTTCACGTAACAATATTCACCAAGCATTATAATGAGTTTGTAAGTTGTACGTTGATGTTTTATGTAACAAAATTGCGGCATTGTTTCGTTTGGTTTCAAAAAAATGCCATCTTTTTCCCGAACGTTCAAAAATTGTGGTGCGTATTTTACCTTTTTTTTCGCAGGTGAAATGATTCAGAAGCATATGCAAAAGGATTCTGGCAGGTTGGCACTTGGATTACAGCGGAAAGACTACGCCAACGCTACCTCAGACGATCTCAAACTTGGGTACAACTTTTCTCAAATACTGTTGGTCAAATATATCTACTTCTTGCAGTAATTTTGGAAGTACTTTTTTGCATTTCAAGAGCCAGATTTTGATTTCAATTTGTACCTCAACACCTGTGCCACGAGCGTTACCTGCTTGCCCCCAACGCCTTTCTTCATACCTTAAAAATCATCTCATCTTTATTTATTGTCAATGGAAGATTATTTTTTGTGGTTTTGTAAATTCGGTTAAAGCTGCGCTGCGGAGCTTTTCCGTCGGCGGTTCGTCTTTCGCTCGTTTCTGTGGATACGCCGCCGCCAAGCCTGGAACGCTCCACAGCTCGACGTTACGTTTATTAAATTACGGGTGGTTTTACAGCTCAAAAAAAGCGATAAAACCTCCACGGAGAAAAGCGTCCGACGGAGCCTCCGCCGCGAAAGTTCCGCAGTGCAGCTTTAACATCACGCGTCCTTATTTTTATCCTGTTTTAATATTGGTAGCATTTGTGTAGCAGGTTTTGTTTTAAAGGGGAATAAAGGGTTTACATAAGCGTCTCAGGATCAACTCATATCTACCCTATATCAGCCTTTCTATTTATTTTGATTTCGTTGTCTTGGTTACAGACTGTGGCGGACTTAAAGAGACACTTCTTAACGTTCTTCATACTCGTCTCTTCTGCCGTTTTTAATGAGCTTGATTTGATAATATGGGTAGTTTTTGTCATTAATTGTGATCTTCCTTTCTGCGTGTTTAAAGTTCCCGTATTACACCGTTTTCTGATTTATGTTAGAACGTTTCCTCGTCACAAACACGCCTGGAGTTGTTGTGTTTTGTTTCAGTCACACATGTTCTTCTCTTCTTCTCTCGAACTGAAAATACTCTGTTCCAACTTGTGATGTCATGTGGTGATACAGTAAGCGTTCCACGGTGTGTTTTAAATCCAGACACCTTCACTGCAATCATTTGCATCATCTAATTTCGACTCTGGAATTGTCACTCTGAACTGAACAAAAATTAAAAGGTAACTGCTCACTTGAAAACTACCACTTCATGACATCACAAAGTGGAACTGAGCATTTTGAGCTTTGGAGGTGTAGACAGACTAATAATAAGTTTCTCAGACGTGTGAATGAAACAAAACAACTCCAGGTCTGTTTTTGAGGAGGAAACAACATTCTAACATGACTTAAAGATCATAAGAGTGTGTGTGTAATATAGGAGCTTTAAATAGTAGCCAGTTTTGGACTAACACCAATTTTTGTCTGGTAGGAGACGCCTCTAGTCCAGTATGCAGCAGTGAAGGCCTCTGTCCCTCTGTTCTGTTGTTCTTCCTGTTTTTAAACCTTTCTTTAGTCCAGTTTTCATATGATGACTTCTGTTCGGGGGGTTGTGTATTTAACACACTTGTTGGCAATTGTTATATTAGTGTAAGTTATATTTGAAATGAAACATTTACTGTATTTCTTAAATAAACTGCTGTGATAAACTTGAATAAAGATCTTGTCTTTTTGCTGTGTTACAAAAACTTTGGTTCCTCTTTGCAGTAACTGGATATAAGTTTGACTCAACAGGAAAGTTTTACATTCTGTTTGAATCCAGCAGGGACTGAAATCAGAACATGGATCATGAAAAAACACTGGATTAACTTGGGATGGTCGGACCACAGCTGCTCCTGTGAAGCACGTGGCTCTGAAATGTGGAAGACATTGAGAACAAAATGTACACCAACTAACTTTGTTTTATAGATCGTTTGGTGCTTTGATTGTTCATTTTGCAGGAATCCACGCTGTTTCTCAGCCCTGTGTGTCCATCCAGCCATCCATTTTCTTCAGCTTATCTGGGGTCCAGGTCGCGGAGGCAGCAGTCTAAACAGGGTCTCCCAGACTTCCTTCACCCCAGACACTTTCTCCAGCTCCTCCAGGGGATCCCAAAGTGTTCCCAGGCCAGCCCAGAGACATCGTCCCTCCAGCGTGTCCAGGGTCTTCCACTTCCTGAGGGAGGCACCCAGGAGCCATCAGAACAGATGCGCTCCCCTCAGCTGCTCCTCTACTCCGAGCTCCTCCCTTGTGACTGAGCTCCTCACTCTGCCTCTAAGGGAGCGCCCAGCCACCGTGCAGAGGAAACTCATTTCGGCTGCTTGTATCTGTGATCTCGTTCTTTCTGTGATTACCCAGAGCTCACGACCACAGGTGAGGGGAGGAACATAGATTGACGGTAAATCAAGAGCTTTGCCTTTGGTCTCAGTTCTCTTCTGTCCTGTGTGTGTCTCTGCCAACTGTAAGCACTGCTTTGTGTGAAGCTGTTGATCAAATTAGCCTTTAATCTGAGCTTTAATTGAACACAATCTGTTGTCTTCACTGGAACTACGACCGGTGAGACCATTTGTGACTTCTTAATACTTTTTGGCAGTGTTTGCTAACGTGTGCATTGTATCTCTATGGTAACTTCTAAACATTCCGGCATAGACATACATTCAGAGCACCCCCAGCGATAGTGTCAACAAAGGAAGTTTGACATCTGTTTTCCAAATATCCCCCGTAGCATGAAAACCAAAATAACGACAGGACACAGAGTCATGTTCAGGTATATGTATTAGGCTTCAGTAATAACCATTGTTAATTCCTTTGAGTACAGATTTACAGACAACCCTTGAACCCAACTTATGCACTGTGATTTTTCTAAAAACATTTATACACAATCGCAATCTTCAGGTTTAAAATATACATATTTCCTTCCAGTATTTACACAGTACCAACCCAGAAACGTGTGGGTTGAGAGACTAGAAAACAAGACATAGGTGAATCTGACACATAAGACGAAAAAAATCAGGAAATATTAGCCACAAATGATTCTTGTGCTTTTTCCAGGCGCTCGCTTCCAAAAATTCCTCCCAAAAATTCCCAGAGGACGACGCTATGAACCAAAAATCATAAAACACAGATGAAATTTCACTCAGGCAACAAGAAATAGGACGGTTCTTCAGCATTTTAAATCCTGCCTGACCTGATTTTGTTCCAGAAACTTGTAAAAGGTTATCGGGAGTTCACATCCGCTCGGAAAATACAACACTGAGGAATTCCCACTTGTAAAAACTGGATGAGGAAAACAGGATTTTTCATGTCTTTATTTAATCTGCCTCTCCTGCAGGGGGCGCTAAAGAAGAGGGAAAGCTCTAGGCATGGGACAATACGCAGGGTTTGAATTCACGCGTTTCTAAGGCAACATCTTGTCAAATTTGGGAATTGGAGTAGTTATTTGTAGTGTTAAAACGCTTGAGTTGAAAAGGAGATGAAAAATGTACATAAAAATATATTATTACATTAAAGCTGCATTGTGTAACTTTTTGGTGGAGGGTCTGTCAAATGCTTTTCTTCATGGAGATGTTGTTGCGTCGTCTAGAATGTTTCACAGTATGACTTTAAAACCTTTCTATCGTCATGGAGACCAAACCAGACCAAGTTACAGGTCAGATCTATGGAGAGGCGACCCCGCTCACAGTCAAAATGCTTTTTTTAAGGTATTTTTGAGCTATAAAATTGAATAAATATAAAGTAGAGCTGTTTAATGTCACACTGTGGAACATTTCAGGCAATGCAGTGACGTATCCATAGAAACAAGCAGATGAATGACCCGCCCAACCATAACGTTACATAGTGCAGCTTTAAAATTACAAATGTTAGTTTTAGTCGTGTTTATTTTTGTATTTTAAATGCATTTTTCTCTCAGTTTCATTGAATTTATTTTTTTTTCATTTGCAGTCAAAAGTTGTTGTGTTTTTTTGTTTTTTGGGGGGTTTTTTTGGACACACTGTCTCATTCATTGCTATTTTTTACTTTATTTATTTTTACTACCTTTTACTTTGTATTTTGGGTACTTTTGACTGGTAGTTAGTGTAAAAATACATTAACAAAATGAAAGCAGAAATACCTCGTTAAGTCCCACAACCTTAAACAAAATTATACTTGAACCTGATTCAGATTCCACTCGACTACTTCAAAATGTGTCATGTTTCCTACTGTTTCCTAAAAAACTACAGAGTATGACAAAGATCCTGCTTCTGTTTCATTAAAACGACTCAAAAATCAAACTTCCTTTTTGCGCCTTAGACTTTTAGACTTGTAAATGTGAATTCTTATGGCTTATTTAATGTTTGTGTTATGGTCTAGACTCTAAATAGATTTTTTTTTTTTACAGTTGAAAAGTTCTACTAAAGAGGAGCTCACAAAGTTTTACTCGATTGGTGTATTAAAGGAGCATTAGGTAACATTTCCCATGGAGATGTTATTACCAGTAATTGGGGATGTAACGATATTCAAATCTCTCGTACGATTTTTATTGCGATATTTTGAAGAGGCTGATATAACTGTAGATAGATTTTTTTGCTTTTAAAATACCTTAAAGATTTTGGTGTGAATTATTTCTGTTATAATCCCAAGAATTCAAGTAAAAAACGTATTTCTTCATGTTGTTTGCACTGAAATGAATCATGGGATATGTAGTTCCCGATGTTTATAAGCTGCTGCTACTATCAAACCGTGCATTTAAGCAAAGAAACTTGTGATTCGATATATTGTGACAGGATTTCGACATATCCGTTTTCATGGAGACAAGTGTCACGCCACCAGTACCAGGTCAGATCTGTGGAGAGGTGACCCCGCTCAGAAGTGGTATTTTTGACTACTTTGACTGAATATATGCATTAATAATGTTTAATAATGCTGTACTGTGAAACATTTTCAGCAAATCGGTAACATTTCCATGGAGACAAGGAGATGATGAACCCTTAATACACCAACCAAGTCTGAAGTTCCAGCCACCGAGCAAAAATATATTTTTTGTATTCGAATGTTGTTTCCTCCTCAAAAACAGACCTGGAGTTGTTTTGTTTCATTCACATGTTTGTGTTGGGAGTAACGTGTTATAAAAGAAATTCATTCCTGTAATACACTGTGTTGCTTTTTACTGTAACACAGAAATGTGGCATTAGAGGGAAAAAATGTCATATTTTACTTGTTACAAATGTGAGTCACACGCGTCACAATGCTTTTATCCTGGACTGAAGTGGTGGGTTTTCCTTTTTCTTCATACAAATTAGCTTTTTTTTTTTTTCTTTCTAGTTCAGTCCTTGGTTCAGACCTGGTTTAGTCCTAGTTTTGACCTGGTTTAGTCCTGGTTCAGTCCTGGTTCAGTCCTGGTTCAGTCCTGGTTCAGTCCTGGTTTAGTCCTGGTTTAGACCTGGTTCATTTCTAGTTTAGTCCTGGTTTAGTCCTGGTTCAGTTCTGGTATAGTCCTGGTTTAGTCCTGGTTTAGTCCTGGTTTAATCCTGGTTCAGTTTTGGTTCAGTCCTGGTTTAGTCCTGGTTTAGTCCTGGTTTAGACCTGGTTCAGACCTGGTTTAGTCCTGGTTTAGTCCTGGTTTAATCCTGGTTCAGTTCTGGTTCAGTCCTGGTTTAGTCCTGGTTTAGACCTGGTTCAGTCCTGGTTTAGACCTGGTTTAGTCCTGGTTTAGTCCTGGTTCAGTTCTGGTTTAGTCCTGGTTTAGTCCTGGTTCAGTTCTAGTTTAGTCCTGGTTTAGACCTGGTTCAGTTCTAGTTTAGTCCTGGTTTAGACCTGGTTCCTGGTTCAGTCCTGGTTTAGTCCTGGTTCAGTTCTAGTTTAGTCCTGGTTTAGACCTGGTTCAGTTCTGGTTTAGTCCTGGTTTAGACCTGGTTCAGTTCTAGTTTAGTCCTGGTTTAGACCTGGTTCAGTTCTGGTTTAGTCCTGGTTTAGACCTGGTTCAGTTCTAGTTTAGTCCTGGTTTAGTCCTGGTTCAGTTCTAGTTTAGTCCTGGTTTAGACCTGGTTCAGTCCTGGTTTAGTCCTGGTTTAGACCTGGTTCAGTCCTCTTTTCAGTCCAGATACGATGCAAAAGTTCAGCAACACTTATTTGGTGAGAGTAACTTAAAGTGATGCAATAGTAACTGTATCACTTGTAATGTCATTTTAAATACAGTAATATTGTAATGTAACTAATAACTTTAAAGTGACCGCAACAAGTCATAAATAACACATTGAAGTAACTTGCCCAACAATGTGTTTGAGTAACTCTTTATTATTAGTCTGTTTACATCTCCAAAGCTCAAAATGCTCTGTTTTACCTTGTGATGTCATGAAGTTGTAGTTTTCATGTGAACAGCGACTTTTACTTTTAATTCAGAGAGCGATTCCAATCCATTCCAGCGCTGAAAATGATTCTAACTTCATGGAACCAGGTGGAGTTTTCAGTTTGAGAAACGAAACTCAACCAAAACAGTGAAACAAAACCCAACTCCAGGTCTGTTTTTGATGAAGAAACAACATTATAATCAGAAAACGGCGTAATCTGGGCCCTTTAATTGTCTTCTAGTATCCCCGTCACAAACTCAAATCCCGTTAAACCTCTCCGTTATCGTCCCATGTCTAGTCCGAACAACACACCAACATCGACCAAAACAACTATGCTCTAAACAATGAAACAAAACAACAAAACGCTTTTTAGTAACAAGTCCCAGTACTTTGGATGAACACAGAACGTGACTTCACTGGCGTAGTTCTCCCCCTCCCCTGACGTTGAGTGTACATTCTCCAGGCCTATCCCCGAATGGGACAGCAGGGGGCGTACAAGAGTTCTCCGGAAGCGCTTGTGTCCCGTCCCTGTGGTCTGGGGCTGGCTGGTGGTTCCTGGTTAGAGTTTTTTTTTCTTTTCTTTTTTTTAGAGTTTTCGTCGGTGAAAGCGGCGCTCGAGTTGGGTCACCCGCTCTGGATGTACTTCTTGATGACCACGCAGCCGTGCCGGAACAGCGGGCAGGGCAGGGACTGTACCAGGGTCCATTGGTTGGTGCAGGGGTCGAAGGTCTCCATGTTGCCCAGAGCGGGACCCTCGCTGCTCACGATGCCCCCGGTGGCGTAGATTTTGCCGTCGAGGATCGCGGCGCTGAAAAACAAACACAAAAATGAGGTCGTTATTTCATTTTTTCAAGGTGCTTTGTGAGGTTACGGCATGACATCTTTCCTCCCTCCTTTTCCTCACTCCTTTCCTCCCTCCTCTTTCCTCACTCCTTTTTCCTCCCTCCTCTTTCCTCCCTCCTTTTTCCTCCCTCCTCTTTCCTCACTCCTTTTTCCTCACTCCTCTTTCCTCACGCTTCTCCTTCCTCCCTCCTCTTTCCTCTTTCCACCTTCCTCTTTCCTCCCTCCTTTTTCTTCACTTCTCTTTCCTCCCTCCTCTTTCTTCACTCCTCTTTCCACCTTCCTCTTTCCTCCCTCCTCTTTCCACCTTCCTCTTTCCTCTTTCCTCCCTTCTCTTTCCTCCCTCCTTTTTCCTCCCTCCTCTTTCCTCACTCCTTTTTCCTCACTCCTCTTTCCTCACGCTTCTCCTTCCTCCCTCCTCTTTCCTCCCTTCACCTTCCTCTTTCCTCCCTCCTCTTCCTCCTCTTTCCTCTTTCCTCCTCTTTCCTCTTTCCACCTTCCTCTTTGCTCCCTTCTCTTTCGTCTTTCCTCACTCCTCTTTCCTCCTTTCTCTTTCCTCCCTCCTCTTTCCACCTTCCTCTTTTCTCCCTCCTCTTTCCTCACTTCTCTTTCCTCTTTCCTCACTCCCCCCTCCCTCTCTCCTCTATCCTTCCTCCTCTCTCCTCCCTCCATCCCCCCCATACTGTACCACTCTCTCTTTTCTCTTTTCTCCCTCCCTCCGCCGCTCACTCAGGTACACTAGTACACTCTGTCCCTCCTCCTCTCATCCCTCTCTCCTCCCTCCATCTCCCCCTGTACTGAACTCCACCTCCACTATCCCACTCTCTCTTCTCTCTCTTTCTCTCTCTCTCTTTCTCTCTCTCTACCTCTCCATCTCTCCCCATACTGCACTCCTCCTCCTATCCCACTCACTCTGGTCTAGTAAACTCCCTCTTTCCACTCTCCTCCCTCCCTCCTCCCCTCTATTCTCTCCTCCCTCCATTCCTCCACTCCCTGTACACTCCCTCTCTTCATCCTACCTCCTTCCTCCTCCCTTCCTCTATCCTTCTTCGTCCACCTTGTACTGTACTCCACCTACTATCCCACTCATTCTTTCTAGTGCTCTCTTCTCCCTCCTTTCTCTCTCTCTCTTCTCTCTCCCTCCTTTCTCTTCCTCTCTCTTTCTCTCTCTCTCTCTCTACTGTACTCCACCTTCTATCCCGCTCCCTCTCTCCTCCTCTCCTCCCTCCATCCTCCCCTGAACAGTACTCTATTATCCCGCTCACTCAGGTCTACTCTCTCTCTCCCTCGCTCCCTCCTCCCTCTCTCTCTATCCACCCTACTCCTCCTCCCTCTCTCCTCCCCTCTATTCTCTCCTCCCTCCCTCCTCCTCTCTTCTCTGGCTTGTCTCTCCTTCTCCCTCCTCCCTCCATCTCTCCTCCATTCTCCCCTGTACTGTACTCCACCTCCGCTGTCCTTCTCTCTCTGCTCTAGCGCACTCTCTTCTCCCTCCCTCCTCTTCTCTCCTTCCTCTCTCTCTCTCTTCCCATTCTCCTCCCTCCATCCCTCCATCCCCCTTGTTCTGCACTCTACCTCCACTATTCCACTCAATCAAGTCTAGACACTCTCTCCTCTCTCTTCCCTCCCCTCCTTTTCTCTCCTCCCTCTCTCTCCTCCATCCTCCATCCTCCACCTTATATCCCACTCCTTCTGGTCTAATACACTCTATTCTTCTTCTCTCCTCCCTCCTCCTCTCTCCATTCTTCCTCCTCCTCCTCCTCTGTCCTTCATCTCTCCTCTCTCCTCCTCTCTCCTCCGTCCTCTCTCTCTCTCCTCCTCCCCCCATCCTCCTGTTCTGTACTCCACCTCCGCTGTCCCTCTCTCTTCTCTAATCCACTCTCTTCTCCCTCGCTCCTCTCCTCCTCTTCTCTCCCTTCCACCTCTCTCTCAATCCTTCCTCCCACTCTCTCCTCCTCTCTCCCTCTCTCCTCCTCATCCCTCCATCCTCCTGTACTGTACTCCACCTCCACTATCCCACTCACTCTGGTCAAGTGCACTCTCTTCTCCCCTCTCCCTCCTCCCTCCCTTCCCCCTCTCTCTCTCCATCCTTCCTCCTCCTCCCTACCTCCCTCCATCCTCCTGTACTGTACTCCACCTCCGCTGTCCTTCCCTCTCTCTCTCTCTCTCTCTCTCTCCGCTCTGGCACATTCTCTTCTCCAGGCAAAGCAAATGTCATCTTTGATTTCACTTTAGTCAGACAACATCTCCGCAACACGTCGATTACCCACCAGGGGGCGAAGGCGAGATTACAGCACATTACTCACAAAGAGGAAGCGCAAAAACGCACTAATGAAAAAGCAAATACGGGTCCGTGTGTGCGCCACATCACAAAGTTGTGCTGTAAGCCGATTAGAGCTTTGTTCTCCTGGTGGGGATTGCATTTACATAAGGTACGCACACACACACACACACACACACACCGATTATTACACAAATCTACTGGACCAGAAACACTTTGCAGAGGTAGTAGTCGTAGTTGTAGTAGTAGTTTTTAGGTTAAAGGGCCCATATGACTCTGATCTGTTCTAATGTCGTTTCCTGGAGTTGAACAAACGCTGCACATTAACGCTGAGTTCTCCTCTCAAACACCTTGTGATGTCATGTGGTGATACAGGAAGTGCTCCACTGCGTTCTAAAACTCCTCACATCTCGACTTAAATCATTTTTCGATAACTGCAGATGTAAATTAATTAAACTACTGAACTAAAGGTAATTTGAAAACTACTACTAACATCATGACATCACAAGGTGGAACAGAGCGTTTTGAGCTTTGGAGATGTAGACTGACTAATACTAAAGAGTTACTCAAACATGTGTGAATGAAACAAAACACAACTCCAGGTCTGTTTTTGGTGAGGTAATAACATTATAACATGACTTGAAGTTTATAAGAGTTCATATTTTGTCGTATAGGACCTTTAAAGTCATACTGTGGAACATTCTAGACAAAATAACTACATTATGTGGCCGGCAGTAGCTCTACAGGCTCAATTCACGTCACGTTACAGACGAAGAAGATGTTTGGAAACATCATCCTGGTTTGTGACGTAAGTGTGAATAGAGCCTGTTGGTGGAGTGTTCGTTCACTGATCTGAAGGTTGGTTGTTCGAATCCCGCTCTAGACGTAAAACATCACTGGTTGAGCGGTCCACAAATGTGATTCTAACTTCTACAGATGAATGCTGTCATTGTGCCTTTGGACAAGACACTTAACCTGCCTCACCTCCAGTGTCTGCGTACACCACAGAGTCCTGCACAGGTCCATTTTTGGAGACCCGCACCCGCCCACACTCATGATTATATCAAAGTTATAATCTGCACCCGCCCAGACCCGTTAACATTCCACCCATTACTCACCCATGCCCGTGATAAATCAGGGTCAGCCCGTTAGTCCAACAGGCCAGTAGTCCAGGACTGAACCAGGACTGAACCAGCGCCGTGTCATTAGCGAATTATAAATATACACGTCGCAACCGCAGAGACGATCACCAGGACTACACCAGGACTGGACCAGGTCTAAGCCAGGACTAAACCAAGAGCAGAGCCGCCAACCCGATCACCTCCGCTGATGGTTTTATGTAATAAAAACAGTGAAGTCTCTCTCAGCCTGGTCCATAGTTCCAGTAAAAACCCGGGCAGGGTAATAGATGTCCTAGACGTGTGTGAAGTATTTTTCTCCCATTCCTTGTTCATTTGATTCACCTGACCCACCCGTGTGTAATCACTACCCGCCCGTAAAATTCTAGAACGTTCATTTCAGCAACTATTTGCCCATACCTGACCCGGCGCAGGACTCTGGTGCACTAGTGTGTGTGTGAGTGTGTGTGTAAATGTGTGAGTGGTGGTGTTGTAAAGCGCTTGGAGGTGCATTTATTTATTACAGGCGTTTCTGTTGCTCAAAAATACAATAATTCCTTCAGTGAATAGGGTCGCCTCTCCACAGATCTGACCTGTAATGTAACGTAGTGCTGTAACCTGCTTGTCTCCCTCATGATAAATAGGTTTATCGTATTTTCTGCACTATAGGGTACGCACTCATAAGCCTCTAACCCCATCAAAAAAACGACTGCGCGCCACAATCCAGAGCGCCCCATACACGAATCCACCCGGGTGTCCCAGCACGACTTCAGTAAACTACAAACACACACGGAGCAGACAGCGACCGCACAGCCAAAAACACCCGCAGACACACTCATCACTCCACGCCGACGAGGAACGGAACGGAGGAACGAACCGAAAAAGCGAGCGCAATGTGCCGCTTCTAGACACAACTGAATGAGTCACTGCGAACACACCGACAATCCAGCGGTCCCAGACAGCACCCTCCCTACACAGTCACCGTGAACGCCACAAACAAACAAAACCACTCACCCATTCAACTGTTGTGTTTCCTTTTAAAGTCCAGTGCGGTTTATTTGTGAAAAAAGATCGAAAATAGACCATTTAATTTAGTGTGCCTTATAGTGTAGAAAATACGGTAATCTATACTGTGGAACATGGTAGACAATGCAATAAATGTTTCCACGTAGACAAGCAGATGCAGACCCTCCTCTCAAAATGTTCCGCAATGCAGCTTTAGTAAATACACATAGTGAGCAGACCTCTATTACGCACCGCCTCACCCTCTGTAGTGAAATGCCACAGAGAACAGCTGGCGGGCGCGGGCTTCTGTGCTCTTATCAATAACCACGGCAACATGATTTATACACGCCAGGTCTGCGTATAGGAGCGCTGTCTGTAATTGCGTCCCCGATGTATTTTCCCTGCACACGTCTTCTATTTCTCTTCCTCTTTCTTCTCCGAGCAGCCGAAGAAGCAACACGGGGAGCAGAGATGGTTTATTTAGAGCAGGAAGTGATCCCATTGCTCTTAAGTCGACATAATCACCATTTATCAGCCCATTACGCCCATATATGGTCACACTAGTGCACCTGTGGCCCCTGCTTTTTACAATCTCCCAGCATGCACTTGGACTCTAATGGCGAGTTTTAATGCAGGGGCAGCGGCTAAATAAGATCATTAAGAAAAGAGGAGTGGATAAATGGGGCCAGTTGTTTTGTTTTTTTTATCGTTTGAACGCAGGATTATTACGGACATTATTAGGGAAATCAGGTTACGATTATTTTAATTTGACTGAAAAATGCGAGTAAACGGCTACGAGCGAAGCAGAATAAGTAATAAGTAAAATAAATTTAAGAAGAAAGAACAGGGAGCGTACAACAAGTGGGAATCGCCCGAGGAATCGTTTGAAGCACTTGTGGAAAGTAATAAAGTAAACATAGTAAAGTACTGTATTCAGAAAGCATTTAAAGTATCTGTACTTTACTTAATTAAAGGTGCATTGTGTTATTGTTTTGTCTGGAATGTTCCACAGTATGGCATTAAACCTTTTATCTTCATAGAGACCAAACTAGAGCAAGTTACAGGTCAGATCTGTGGAGAGGCGACCCCGCTCACAGTCAGAATGTCTGTTTTTCTTGGTATTTTTGAGCTCTAAAACCACCTGTAATTGAATAAATGTAAAGTAGAGCTGTTTAATGTCACACTGTGGAACATTTCAGAGCAATGACATCTCCATAGAAACAAGCAGGTGATGGACCCCCACCTAAAAAGTTACATAGTGCAGTTTAAGTACATTTTACAGTGGGTACTTTTTACTTTTACTTCGCTACATTTGAGAGCAGGGATCTGGACTTTCTGCTCATACAACTCTAAAGGCCCGTTCAGACCAGAGCGTCAAAAAACGCCCTAGGTGCCTCTATTTGGACGCCAGATTTACGCTGACGCCTGAACACGCCCTAGACGCGCGTCCACATAGACTTTGTATATAAACTGGACGCGTAGATGCTCTGGTCTGAACGGCCCTTTATATAATATGAAGCTGAACCGAAGATGTTTATATTGGGAAAATAGAAAAGAATCTCTACAAAATCCGACCTTTGTGAAAGTTGTGGATGATCTGTCTGAACTCGGGCAGTGTGAATTCACAAAAAATACATTGTGCTTCTATGGGAGAATTCTTCCTGGGCCTGAACTCCTGGAGCTGCAGAACCTGGAGCGGCCACTAGTCTCTCTGGAGCAGGGACAGAGGGGGAGGGGCTTATCCAGTTTTTATTAGAGATCCATGTTTCTACTGCACTACATTTTTGAGCAGGACTGAAAAGTAAAAGTATTTTTATTATAGTTTGAGAAATGCTTAAAAGGCTGAGGGTTTATTTTAACACGTTCATGCAGTAGTTTGAGCTGCTAGAAAAATGTTTCATTTGTTTCTGTTGAACAAAACTCAGCACAAATTTTCAGTTAATTGTGTGTCACCTGCTTGTTGCTATGGAGATATCATTGCTCTGCCTGGAATGTTCCACAGTGTGACATTAAACAGCTCTGTCTCCATGGAAAAAAAGCATTTGGCAGACCCTCCACTAGAAAAATTACAAAACGCACCTTTAAGTATGCATTTTAGGTATCTTTACTTTACTTTACTTTACTTTACACAACTTCACATAAAGCACTTACTAATTTATTATTCTTTGTGAATTTTTGAGTATTTTTGTGGTTCTACTACTGTAAGTATCTTTACTGCTAATCCACATTTAAACATGCTGCATTCTGCTCTGTGACCAGCAGAGGGAGACAAACACATAAACATCTGAAGACATTTTCCACACCTACACATTATTTACACACATTACACACATTACACTGTGTCACTTTTTGGTTGGGGGTCCGTCACCTGCTTGTTTCTATGGATACATCATTTCTCTGCCTGGAATGTTCCACAGTGTGACATTAAACAGCTCTACTTTACATTTATTCAAATACAGGTGGTTTTATAGCTCCAAAATCCCTAGAAAAACAAACATTCTGACTGATCCTCCACCAGAAAAGTTACACGGTGCATATTTAAATTAGAACTACTCTGCAATAACAAAATAAACTGCTCAAAGTATTTAAAAACCCTGAACAAAGCAAAAATATGGAACAATTAATCCACAAAATCCGGTGAATTCGCACAGTGACGCCGGAGCCGCAGGTCGCAGCTTTCACCATTGTTATGACAGACTGACAGATTACCCATAAGCCCCGGGTTTTACATATATTTGTGAAATGTCACGGCCCCCTGCACATGTGCGCGAGTGTTTAGGGGAGGATTTAAAGCTCTAATGCGGTACCTGCAGAACTGTCGGGAGTGGTTCATGTTGGGGCCCGCCTTGATGTTGCCTTTGTCCGGGTCGTAGATGGTGGTGGCTCTGGCGTACGCCCCCCCCAGGATGAAAATAAAACCGTTCAGACTCACAGCCGGGGCGTACTTGTTATCTGGAAGAGAGAGAGAGAGAAGGAGGAGAGGAGGGAGAGGTGAGAGAGGTGAGAGGGGAGAGAGAGAATGTGAAAGAGATAAAGGAGGACAGTGAGTGGAGAAAACAAAGAGAGTGAAGGAAAGGAAGCGAGAGATAGGGAGAAGGGAGTAGGAGAGGAAAAGGGAGAGGGGGAGAGGAAGAGAATGAGAAGGTGGACAAAGGAGAAAAAGAAGAAGAGAGGGGGAAGTAGTGGGAGTGGTAGAGGGGAAAGAGTAAAAGAGAATGGGAGAAGGGAGCAGGAGAGAAAGAGAGAGAGAGAAGAGGGAAAGAATAGGGAGAGAGGAGGAGAGGGTGAGAGAGAAGAGAGGTGGTAAAGGAGAGAACGAAAGAGAGAGAAAAGAGGTGGTAAAGGAGAAAGAGAGAAAGAACGAAAGAGAGAGAGAAAAGAGAGGTGGTAAAGGAGAGAGAGAGAAAAGAGGTGGTAAAGGAGAGAGAGAGAAAAGAGGTGGTAAAGGAGAGAAAGAGAGAGAGAACGAAAGAGAGAGAGAAAGAGAGGTGGTAAAGGAGAGAGAGAGAAAGAAAGAGAGATAAACGAGAAAGAGAGAGAGTAAGATGGAGAGAATAGGGAGAAGGGAATAGGGAGAAGGAGAGAGGGATGGAGAAAGAGAGATAGGGAGAAGGTGGAAGGAGATGAAGAGCGAGAGAACGGGGGAGAGAGAACAAGAGAAGGAGAGAGAGAGAGAGAGAGTGAAAGGAGATACGTGGAGAAAAGAGGGAGAGAGGGAAGTACACAAAGAAAGAGAACAGAGAAAGAAGAGAGAAGATGAGACGGTGGCAGAAAGAGAGAGAGGGAGAGAGGAAGAATAAAAAGATACAGATAAACAACCTTAAAACATTTGTCATTCAGTTGAAACGTGTTTATCAGAACATTTGTATTTGTAACATAAAAAGTGATTAGTTTGGATTTGTGTTTTGAACTGGAAATAAGAAAATCTGGACTTTGAGGTTTCAGTTTCAGACTTTTGCTGCTTCATTTGTTTGTAGAATGAAACATCTGCATCAAACTAAAACTACATCTAGTGACGATGTGTGAGAGAAGAACCAGCGAGTCATAAAAAAAAAATTAATAATAATTGAAAAGTTGAAGAAAATACCCACAATATAAAACTACAAAAGTCACAACTTTTACAACTATTTTAATTTGAGATGAAATTGCTGCTGATTTAAATAGATTCAGTTAAAAATAGCAGAGTTCACAAAGACTCCAAAGAACATTCTGTACAAAACATTTTTAGATTTGAACATTGGATTTGATAGATTTGGCGCAGCTTTTACTGTACATTATATTACACTTTTTAGCCAGAACAAAAATAGACTGTTTGTTTCCATGGAAATGCAGTTCTTTTGACTATAATGTTCCACAGTATGACATAAAACTGATCTATCTCCATGCAGAATGTTCCAAACTTTCCATGTTTACGTGAGAGCTTTAATTCTGAATAAAAATTAATTCCGCTTTTAAAAAAGAAAAGAGCATGTAAACACTTAATTCCTAATGAAAATGATTGTTTGGAATTAAACTTAATTTCGAAGTAAGTCTGTGGTTTATTCTGATTTCAAAGCCGAATTCATTTCTTCCTGGATGATGTAAATGTTCATTCTTGTTAAAAATAATCCCGGTGGTTCAGTTCATGTTCGTTGTGTCGTCCTTCTGACACGATCCGGACGATCCGGCTCCACCAGTCCTGTCTTCGGACTTTCCATCCACGTCTCTTTGGATTTGTGAGCGGGATGTGGGAGTGGGCTGAGGTAGAACAGCCTCACACTCAGTTTGTCTTCTTCCTCCTTCTCCGACACTCTTCCCTTCTCCTCCTCAGCCGACAGACGTAAAGCGTGATGAGAGAATTCTCCAGCTGCTGCGCAATTATCATCAGAACCACCGCGGAAAAGGTTTAGATCGTGTTTGTGTCCGTGGAGTAATGACAAACTGAGATGACAGAAAAGCCGGTAGCAGCTGAAGTGTGTGTTTTCTTCCGGTCGATGTAAATACGTTGGTGTCTCTGTCCAATCAGAACCTTCCCCACCCCCAGACGCTGAGCGGAATTAAATAAAGACGATTTAACGTGTTTTCCATGTAAACCTCAATTCAGAATTATTATTTCCATGTAGCAGAATATTTTAATTCAGAACTATTTAATTTAAAAACATAATCTAAACGTGGCCACTCTGGTTTTAAATGTTACGTCGATGGAATCATGCAGGTGATGTACCATCTCCAGAAAGCTCCAGCTCATGGGGCTTTAGGGTCTGTTTACATGAGAACGCTTGTGGGTAAAAACAACAAAATATTTGATCAGAAGTGCCTTTCGTTTAGACGGTGATGGTGTATTTGGGGCTTAAAAACACAAAAATCTGAAACCAGCCTCCAGAGTGGAAAAGTTGAATACACTCCACTGTAGTGTTTCTGTCTACACTGCCCAAGAAGCAAAACTCTGGTCAGATCTGCTCACGTCCTGTACATGTTTACATCCAGTGTTGGGAAGGTTACTTTTAAAATGTTTTCCCCTACAGATTACAGATTACACACCCCAAAGTGCAGTTTGTAACGTAATCCATTAAATTACTTTAGGTGAGTAATGTAACCTGAATACTTTGGATTACTTGATTTGCTGTAGAGAAGCAAGAAGTTTTGTCTGATAAAAGAAAATAAAAATCCCAGACTTTACTTAACCATATTAAAAATGTTATTGATAGAAGAAGAGGACACACGTCCACGCAGCATGATTTAGTCCTGTTAAATCCTGTTTTAGACCTGGTTTAGTTCTGGTTTTAGTTCTGGTTTAGTCCTGGTTTTAGTTCTGGTTTAGTCCTGGTTCAGCCCAAAATGTAAAAACAGGAAAATACCACCATGTAATCCATTTATTTCAACAAAGTAACTGTAATCCAATTACCACTCACTGAAACAGTAACTGTAACTGAATACAGTTACTCATAATTTGTACTCTGATTACGTAACTCCGGTACATGTAATCTGTTACTCCCCAACACTGTTTACATCACATACAAACCTGACATGTATACACAATCCAATTCCACACACTTTTGCGTCACCGTATGCACACACATTTCCTCCTGAAAACACTTGTCTAAACGTGAAATAAAAAGTGAAGACGCTGTGCCACTTTTACGTCTTCTGTTCAGACCGACATCATATAAACGTAGCCTAAGACGAGACTTAACACCAGAGAGGACGGGACCTTTCCTATGAACAACCCAAAGCTCTGGAACGTTCTGCCCCCCCACGTCTGAACAGGCCCCCCTAGTGGAATGTTTTAAGTCTGGTCTTAAAACCCACTTTTTTCTCTCTGGCTCTTAACACCGCGTGAGTTGTGTGGTCCTTTGTGTCTTTTATTTCATTGTATTTTAATTAGATTTTATTCCTTATTTTTATGATTATTTATTGTTTTATTTATGATCTACTGTACTGTACTTTATAAAATGTGCTATAGAAATCAAGCGGATTCATTAAAATTGGATAGAATATTCATAAGCAGTTGTTTCTGTGTGGTTTTACTCCAACAACGTCTCGATTAGATAATATCGTCTGTCCCGGCAATTTGCTTTTTTGTGCTTCTCGTCAAACAAAACGTATAAGAAACATGATCCAATCTCCTTTTTTCCCTTAAAAATATCAGCTTTTACAAAATGAAATGGTAAATGATCACAATTATAGAACGCTTTTCCACTTTCAAGGCACTCAAAGCTTTTTACATCAAGGAACCATTCACCCATTCACACACACACACACACACACACACACACACACACACACGCTGAAATGACTCAAATGATTCTCGTGACAGTGCAGGGTTTGTGTGTTAAACATGTGCGAATAAAACGAAACACAACTCCAGGTCTGTTTGTGATGAGGAAACGACATTAGAACTAGGGATGGGCATTCGATTAAATTTACTTAATCGATCGTCGGGAGAATTAACGACCGATTATCGATTAATCATTAACTTTTTATATTAAAATGATCATCATTATTGTGAGGGAGCTATAGGCCACACCCTCACTCATCAGGTGTGCACCTTCATGTTTTCAGTTATATTCATCTGATGCCATGTTCATTTTCCCTGTTTCACTCCTCTTTTCCTTTCCTTTGAGGTGATTGGTGGAGGCACTGATTTGGAGGCGTGTCCTTATCAGTGCAGGCCGGGTGCATCCCATCGCCCTGATTTGGACTCTGCCAAGTGCTGCTGGGGGAGGGGAGGTTTAATTGCAGAAACTATCTATCTATACATGAAATAATATTTAAAGGCTGATAATTCTAACGATACAATGTGCAAAATTAGTTTATGAAATGTAAATAGTTGTAAATAGTATAATCATATATTTAGTCATTTTTAAAAGTTCAAATTTACCTGTCTGGGGCTTAGTGGTTTAGGCCAGGTGGTTGCCTGTTGTCTGTCATGGGGACATGCTGTCAGATCTACTCATGGTGTGGCCAATTAAAAAAAAGGTGAAGAACTTAGTTTCTTTTCTTTGTTTTTTTGTTGACCCCTCGGGTGCTACGGCTTTCCTGGGCTAGTAAGAGGCCAAATTACATCCATAATCTTACAATTATTATTACTATCTGCACTACTAATCTACATAATTAAATTCAACTTTACGACATATAAACCGTAACGACTCTAGAGCCACATCAGCCCGTTTGACATTATAATGTGTTTAATGCAGCAAGTGTCACAGAAACAAAACTTAAAACTGCATGGCTCATTTGCATAAACTAAGCGAAAAAAAAAAAAAAAACAGCTCTTGTGCACAGTCAACTTCTGTCGGATTAAAAGACATGATTCAGTGGAATACAGGTTAGTGTGACCATATTTGCGTTTGTCAAAACCAGGACACCGTACGGGGGGTGAGAGGTGGGGACTCATCATTGACATTGCGTTACTCTCACCTGGCAAAGCTTTTTCATGTTTTCGGTGTCCTGATGAGCTTTTTCCCACTGGA